GACAGAGAGACAGAGAGTTCAAGACTGTGGTGAGCCTTGATTATGCCACTGCACACCAGTCTAGGTGACAGAGAACAGACCCAGAGAGAGAGAGAGAGAGAGATCAAAGCTTTCTCTCTGTCTTCCGTGTGAGGACACAGCAAGGAGGCAACCATCTGTAGGCCAGAAAGAGGGACCTCTCAGGGAACCCCATCTGCCAGCACCTTGATCTTGGACTTCCCAGTCTCCAGAGCCGTAAGAATGACAATCTGTTGCTTAAGCTACCCAGTCTATGGTGTGGCGTTGTAGCAGCCCGAGCTGACGCCACACCATCTAAGTTGGGGGTCAGGCTGGATTGTCCTGCCGGCCTGTGAGGGCATCCACTGCCGGGGGAAGTCTCGCACCGCCATTGTGGTTAAACATTACCCAAGTGTCCCTCCTTTCCTGCCACTCCCTGTCCCAGCCTCTCCTCAAGGATATCAAGCCATAAACACCGCCTTCTTTGATCTTTCCCCAGGGCTGTAGCCTCCTGGGAGGGGCCCCACTGCTGGTCTTGGGGGCTGGAGTGGGGAGGGCTGGGGGCCCAGAGCTGGGACTGGGGGTGAGGGACACTCAGGCTCTCGCCCCTCCATACTCACACCCAGGTGCTTTTTGTTCTTTTTTTTTTTTGAGTTGGAGTCTCACTCTGCTGCCCAGAATGGAGTGCAGTGGCGGCTCCGGGCCACCACAGCCTCGACCTGCTGGGCTCCAGTGATCCTTCTGCCTCAGCCTTCCAAGTAGCTGGAACTACAGGTGTGCGCTACCATGCCCAGCTGATTTTTTGATTTATTGTAGAGATGAGGTCTCGCTGCCCAGGCGGGTCTCGAACCCGCGGGCCCAGGCAATCCACTCACCTCAGCCTCCCAAAGGCGCGAGATGACAGGCTGAGCCACTGAGCCCTGCTACACCCGGGTGTTTTGTTCTTAGTTACATCATGCCAGGTTCCTGCTGACAGCTCCCTGGGGAGCTCACCACTGGCTTAATGAGCCCCCAAGGTGCCCCCCTCAGGCGAGAGGCCCAGCCCTCCAGGTTTCTGGGAAGCAGTGATAATTCAGAGAAACAGGGCCGCCTCTCCGCAAGGGGTGTCTGCTCCAGCCTCTGCCCCCAGGTCTCCCAGAAGCAAGAAAGACAAGGTCCAGCTGTCATGCCCAGTCCCGCCCACTGAGGTGTTTTAAGTCATGAGCCTGCATTAATAATCCTAGAGTCCAGACCATGACACCACAGATCTTGGGAGGGGGAATGGATCTCATCTGGACTGCACATGACAATATCCAAAGAGCTTCTGGCCCATTCTTTCCCATCTTCCAGAGAGTTCTGTAAAGTAGATATGATTTACTTGTTCTCCACGGTATATATGTGTGGACACAGGGGAACCAGGCAATGAATCTGGTTAGTAGAATGCCAGGTCTTTGAGTCAACTCTCCTGACCCCCAGCTGGGTGCAGTGACTCATGCCTTTAATCCCAGCACTTTGGAAGGCAGAGGCAAGAGGATCGCCTGAGTCCAGGGGTTTGAGACCAGCCTGGGCAACTTGGCAAGACCTTGTCTCTATAATAAATCCAAAATTTGGCTGAGCACAGTGGCTCAGCCCATATTCCCAGAATTTTGGGAGGCCGAGGTGATAGGATTGCCTGAGCCTGGAGGTTCAAGACCAGCGTGAGCAACTTGATGAGACCTTATCTCTACAATAAATAAAAAAATTAGCTGGGCATAGTGGTGCATGTCTGTGGTTCCAACTCCTTGGAAGGCTGAGGCAGAAGGATCGCCTGAGTCCAGCAGGTTGAGGCTGCGGTGGCTGTGAGGAGCATGCCACTGCCTCTATCAAGACAGACATCACTAATCAATCATGGTATGATAGACATTGCTAATCAATCACAGTACTCTGTTTAGTAAACTCAGAGGCAGCCATGAACTTTTCAAAACACCATCACCTATCCGAAGACTATATCTGCAGTTATTTTCCAGTCTTGTAATCCCACATCGTTAGCCTTGAACTCTCTGGACTCAGGCACAACTCCAAGATGTGCCTATAGTCATCAGACCATAGGACCCTACATACTGCATGCTTTTCAAGTAGTTACTGGCTCCTGGGCCCCAAAAATGTGCCATCCAAGCATCATCTCTCTTAGAGATAAAAATCCAACCATACAGGCTTGCTTGGGGCTTCAGGGTTTGCTAGGTTTTTAAAATAAGTTTTTACTGTGAAACATTTCAGGTATATATTAAAGTGTAGATGATAATAATATCACAGAGAACTGTGTTCATGCTTTTTTTTTCAATTAGTTAAGGTCTCACTCTGTCACCTGGACTGGAGTGTAGCGGCATGATCACGGCTCACTGCAGCTTCAACCTCCTGGGCTCAAATGAGCCTCTGCCTCAGCCTCCTGAATAACTGGGACTACAGGTACGCACCACCCCATCAGGCTAATTTTCTTGCTATGTTGTCCAGGCTGGTCTTGAACTCCTGAACTCAAGCAATCCTCCTGCTTTAGCCTCCCAAAATGCTGGAATTACAGGCAAGAGCTACCACACCTGGCATATTTACACAGTGTAAGCAATTAAAAGCCACAGACACCCTACAAAAAAGCTTATATGTGTTCCTCTCAGTCTAGCCCTCCCTACCCCTCAGCACCATTCTCTAAATTTTGTTTCTCATTCCTGTGCATATTTTTATACTTTTATTATGTATTTATGTATCCATTTTTTTTTTTTGAGTCAGCGTCTCACTCTGGCACCCAGGTTGGAGTGCAGTGGCATGATCACGGCTTATTGGGGCCTAAAACTCCTGGGCTCAGGCAATTCTTCATTCTCAGCCTCTAGAGTAGTTGGAACTACAGGCACATGCCACCAAGCCCAGCTAATTTTTTGTAGAGAAGGGTCTCACTATGTTGCCCAGGTTGGTCTTGAACCCCTGGGCTCAAGCAGTCCTCCTGCTTGGCCTCCCAAAGTGCTGGGATTATGGGAGTGGGCCACCGTGCCTGGCCCATATTATTAAACCTTAAATTAATTATATCATATTGCTCAGATCTTGTTGCAATGTGCAACTTTTTGTACAATGGAATGTGTGAGATTTTTAGGCAAAATGCAGCTTTGTATCTTATACTGTACTATAATTGCAAATATTTGTTGAAGCCTTACTCTGTCTAGGCATGCTTTTAGGTGACTTACCAGTCTTAGCTCATTCATTTATTAGAGGTAGGGTCTTGCTATGTTGCCCAGGCTGGACTTGAACTCCTGGGCTCAAGCAATCATCCTGCCTCAGCCTCCTGAGTAGCTGGGACTTCAGGCAGAAACCACTGTGCCCGGCTTGGCCTTAATTCATTTAATCTTTACAACAAAATTATTTTAATTCCCACCTTACAGATTTGGAAACAGAAACACAGAAATGTTAAATTATGAACACAGTTCTCATAGCTTGGAAGCTGGGATCTAACCATAGACATCAATCTCTCCAATACTATGTGGTCTGTTGGTATGGAAGCAGTAGGCCAGGTGTGGTAGTTCCTGCCTATAATCCCAGCGCTTTGGGAGGCCTAGGTGAGAGGATTTCCTGAGCCCACGGGTTCGAGACCAGCCTGGGCAAGTTTGCAAGACCTCAGGTCTACAATTAAAAAAAAAGAAATTAAGCCGGGCTCGGTGGCTCAGCCTGTAATCCCGCGCCTTCGGGAGGCTGAGGTGAGTGGATTGCCTGCAGCCCACGGGTTCGAGACCCGCCTGCGCAGGAGAGACCTCAACTCTACAATAAATAAAAAAAAATCAGCCAGGTGTGGTAGCGCACGCCTGTAATTCTGGCTACTCAGAAGGCTGAGGCAGAAGGATCACTGGAGCCCAGCAGGTCGAGGCAGCAGTGGCCGTGAGCGTGCCACTGCACTCCAGCCTGGGTGACAGAGTGAGACTCTGACCCCCCCAAAAAAACAACAACCAAAAAAACAGTAATTCATTCAACTGTTCTATTTACAGGCCATTGCATATATATATATATATATATATAT